CCCCCCAGGACCAAAGGCACCTGCTTGATCAGCCCCGCCGCTTGCCCTCGCCCCCAACGGGTTGAGGAGCTCGAGTGGGAAGGGAGGAGGACATCCCGCCATCCCGCCCTGCTCGCCACCCATCCGCCGTCCCCCTCGAAAGACGCGAGCACCCTTCGCGACGGGGCACAGTGGACTACAACCCACCGTCCGGGGCCGAGGGGGGCGACAGAGTGGCTCGGCCAGCCTCCACGGGGGAGCGGGGGGGAACACTGGCCCCCCGCCCACCCGGCCTTTGGCCCTGCTTATCCGGGGACACAGACCAAACATGCTTGGGCCGGCGCCCCGGGGCTCGGGCCGAAATTCTGTGACATCGGATTGCGCTCGGGCTTCTGGCTATGTGTCCCTGAATGGCATTCTCGAACGTTGGCAGGAAAACATCTGATGCTCGTCTCCCCCTTCAGTACTTGGATGCTCGACCTTGTGTCGGGGAAGCCAGGCCGCCCCACGCCGGAGGACCGGACGGGGGGGAGGGGGGGGGGGGGAACAGTCAGCGGGAGACACGACAGAGCCAGGGACAAAGGTAGCAGAGGCGGCCAGGAGAACAGGAGAGGCAGGGCTCGAGGATGTGGATCAGCAGGCGGCGAGCCCTGCTGGGGCATTTTTATCTCCTCTCATGGCGCGCTTGGGCGCGCGAGGTGCTCGCGCGGAGTTCGCGCACAGACCTTTACGCGAAGGAACATGCTGCTGACGGGCGCGGCCGGAGTGCGAGAGGGCACAGGGGGGAAATGGGGGAGGGGCGGGGGGGGCGGGGCTGTCGGTCCAGAGAGGTCGAATACCTGCTCCGGGCTCCCCCCCCCTGCCCGAGCGCGCCGTGTCTCGACACTGGCCGGTTGAAAACGCCTCCTCCCGGTGGCCGGAGCCGTCGGCGCTCCGAAGACACCCCCTTCTGGTTGTCGAGAGAGATCCCATCCCGCAGCCTCTCCCCCTCCCCCCTCCCCCCTGCAGTTCCTCCTTTGTCCTCTTTCCCCTCTCAGAGGTATCTCTCCCTCCTTTTGCCCTCTCCTCACATACTCCCCCCATGCCGGCCCCCTGTTGAGCCCACCCCTGCCCTCAAGTCCTCCCCCCGCCCCCTCTCTCCCCTCCACTGGCTGTCCCACTTGCCAAGACCCCACCATGATCGCGCCCCAGGGCCCTCTCTAACACGCGCTCTCCTCACTCTCCACCTTCGCTCGGATGGACGACCGCCAGTATCGCCATGGATGTGCGTCCCTTTCTCATGTGCACCAACCGCCTTGGGCCTGATGCATGCATTCATACACACACGCGCACACGCGCATGCCCAGCCCCATGCACACCTCCACCTCAGCTAACCCTGGTCCCCTCTCTGTCTCTGTCCTCCTCCTACCCCCCCCCCCTCCCCCCATCCCCCCTCCTGCCCTCTTGGCTCGGATCGTCATCCTGCAGTTCGGTCAGAACGGTCGCCACGACAGCTACCTCGCTCAGGTTTCTGACGAGATCATGAACCACCACCTCGGCACCGAGTCCACCAAGCTCCTGCTCAAGCAGATTCGCGAGTGTGTGCGCTCGGCCGGTGTCAACCACCAGAAGGTGTGCAAGGAGCTTGGCGAGGAGATGGCCTTCCGTCTGGCCAACAACTGCGTCTCCGACTACGCCCGCCAGGTGCGTCTCTCCTGCCACGGGTGGCATCCTTCACTTGTGCACTGTTGTCTGGACAAACTGCCCCCCTCCTAACTGTGTGCCCCTCCTGCTCCCTTCTTCTTCCTTTTCCCGCTCCGGCGCCCACACCTCACCGCCACCACCATTCCTGCAGAACCACCGGTAAATTCGGTGTGTTCAATTCCCGGATATTCCCTTTCTTGAAGGGAGGACAAGGGCGAATGGCGGCCCCGGCCGATACACTGTTGAAGCTCTTCCGCCTTGGCGGGTCTCCTTGCACATGTCAATGACACGATGTGCGAACACACGCACACGCACACACCGCACATTGGCACTGCATCCACCTCCCTTCCATCCATCCACCCACATACACACACATCTCAGTACCAGTACAAATGTCCACCCTACCGTCGTCACCAAAGCTTGTGTCTTGCAACGACCCAAGCCATGCGCTATGATGGCATGACGGCTCCTAGATCTGTAAAATATACCCAGCACCAAAAGGCAATCCCCCTCCTGCCACCCGGTTGACCGGGCTTCCCCCCCCCCCCCCCCCCCCGACACTCCCTCCCCTCCCCCCCCGCCGGTGAACCCGCGCTGCTCCTCGGGGGGATGCCACGAGCTTCCCCAAAAGGGGCACCAACAACTCGCGCACATTTGCGGGCGATGGTGTGGGCTTGGCTTCTGTCTTGGGTCTTGTGCGCGTAATTTGGGGTGTGGGTGGGGGGGGGGGTGGGGGGGGTAACACCGGCAAGGCAGAGGACACTGAAACAGAGGAAAAAAGAAATGCGAAGACAAGGGGGCGAGCGAAGGAGAAGGGAGGGGGGGGGTACACACAGGCCTGTTGAGACAGGGGGCTCTGATACCCTGGATACGCTGCCTATTTATACCCCTGTACCAAGCGGCGAAAGCGTCTTATTCTGGGGAGGGGGCCGGCAATGTGGCGCGTTCCGCGTGGTGGAGTGACCCCCTGACATCACACGTTACACATGGTGTGTATGCGTGTTGAAAGGCGAGAGAGAGAGAGAGAGAGAGAGAGAGAGGGAGGGAGGGAGGGAGGCAGAAAGGAAGAGGCAAAGTGAGGTCCCGAGAAGATGCCTCCTTGGAGGGCAGGAATTGGGCGACCGAAGGGGATCGACCTGCCAAGCGCGCCCGGAGTTCGAGAACCAGGGAGGAGGTCGCGAGACATGCTGCTGGGACCGCAAGAGGCACGCATGCAAAGGAAAAGGAACAGGAGATGGAAGAAGGAAATGTATATTGGTTTTGGATACGCAAGTACAGTTGATATTTTTGAGCTTTTTGACCGAGGAAAGGAGGGAAAGGGGACAGGGGAGAGGGGGAGGAGGAGGAGGAGGAGGGGTGTGGGGGATATGCAAACGAAGGAGGGAACCCTCCCTCTTCCTGGGCAAGGGGGTGAGGCGAGGCGGAGAGAGAAAGGAGAGGAGGGGAGGGGCGCGCCGAGGTACACGCGGCCGAGCCATCATCATCCTGCGACTGTGTCTCCCTCTCTCTCTCTCTCTCCCTCTCTTTCAGCAGGGTATGCGACGAACAGGAGGGGGGGGGAGGGGGAGGCCTCGGCGCCAGGGAAAGGTGCGGGAGGGGAGCGTTCTGTGAAGAGGGGAGGAGGGGAGGAGAATGTGGTGCGCCCGGCTTGAAGTATACACGACAGAAGAGGAGGAGGGGGGGGGGGGGGGTTGAGGAGAAACGGGAAATGTACACATGTATGTGTGCCCGTGTGGGCATACACATGCACGCCAAGCGCATGTAGGCGCACATGGACACACACACACCCTCTCTCTCGCCTTTGCCTCTCACTCGATGGCGCATGCGCACAAGAGAGGAAGAAGGTGGAAGCACGTGTGGGCAGCAAAAGGGGAGATGCCACATGAGAACACGCCTGCCAGCCTTGCTTGCTCTCTGTCATACGTGCGGCATGTGTGCAGGAAGGAAGAGGAAGAGGGGAGAAGGAGGAAGGAGGGAGGGGTTCCACTCTCATCGGGGTTCGCATGCCCGAGAGGGGGGAGGAAGAGGAAGGGGGGGGGGGGAACACCAGGGCGCCAGGGACGGGAACTAAGATGGCTGGCTGGGATGCGGGAGGAAGAGAGATGAAGAGGCAGTAGGGGGAGGGGGGCGGGGGAGGGGAAGGGGGATGGACCGCATCGTGCCCAGAGGGAGGGATGGACGAAGAAGGAGGATGGAAGCACGGAGGAGAGACATCCCCTCCCGGTCCCCGTCCCCCCCCCCCACCCCCTCGCCTATGAGAGCTTCGGAGCGGGTTGCGAGGAACGAGGAAGCAAACAGGGGTGATGTGGATGGGAGGAGGGAGGACGCGGCGCGTTCTAAAAGGCTGCTGGGGAAGGAGGAGAGAGGAGGGGGACGGAGCGCGAGAGGGAGGAGAGAGAGGGGGGGGAGGGAGAGGAGGGCGTGCACGCCCTGCGCAGGCCGGGCCGGCCGGGCCGATATGCGGGAGGGGGGGAAGGGCGCGAGGAAGAGCAGCAAGTGAAAGGGGACAGGCGCATGCAGCAATGTGTGGTCATCATCACACCGCATATGGATTGCTTTCTCTTTCTCTTTCTGTCTCTGTCTCTCTCTCTCTTTCTCTCTCTTTGGCTCCGTCCCTTGACATGGACTGCCGAAGGAGACCCTCATATGTGCTCGTGTGATGTGGCACTTTCTCTCGCTCTCTCACTCTCTCGCCCTTTGGGCTGGCCCTGTCGTCTCGTCGCTCGCTCTTTCGGGCTCTTTTTAAGCCCAGACCTTGAGAAGGGAGTCCCAGCTGCCGGTGCAGAGGGCCATGCCATCGGCGCTGACACCGAGGCAGCTCACGCGGTTCTCATGACCGGCCAGGACACCGACGCGCTCACCGCGCAGGGTGTCCCAGACATTGCAGTTGTAGTCATCGTAGCCGGCGAAGAGGAGGCGCCCGGAGACGGAGAAAGACACGGAGGTGATGCCGCACAGGATGTTGTCGTGGGTGTACTGGTTGAGCTCGCGATCGGCGCGCAGGTCGAACAGCCGGCAGGAAGCGTCATCAGAACCAGTGCCAAAGGCGTCGCCATTGGGGAAGAACTGGACGGCGTTGATATCGGTCTCATGGCCGGAGAAGCTCTGGACACACTTGCCGGTACGGATGTCCCACACAAGAGCCAGGGCGTCACAGGCGCCGGAGACAAAGATGTTGCGCTCGGGCATGACAGAAAGACTGCAGCAGGTGCGAGGCGGAGCC